TGATCACACAGCAGGCCGTGCAGTACAAGAGCGGAATCTACCGTGAGCTTCGTGGCCGCCTTCGCTGCCAGGCTGGCTACTTCCAGCCTGGTCACGGTGTTCCGATCCCGTATCTGACACGCAGGGATGCAATGGGATGAAAACTGAAGGCCCAGGCCTGAAACCCTTCATAGGCCCCTACCAGGGCCCACAAAAGACTCCATTAAACATAGCCCTATAACTCAACTCTCGATAGTTGCTCAGAGACACGGCACAAGCAGCTCTTTGGCATAGAGAGAAGCAGATTGCACAGTCATCGTGTAAGTTTTCGACACAATGGGAGGTAGCAAAGTGGGTTTAGGTGCAAGGCCCCTGCATGGCGTTTCGCACTGAGATCGGGAGGCTGAATTTTGGTCTTTGTCCCCCGTGGTCTTTTGTTATGTATTGAGATCGGTGTGCAGCGTCTTCACCAGGTTTAGGACGTTTTCAAGTATGTTACAGCCGCTGATGCGAATCTTTCTCTGCACATTTTCGGACTTTTGTTGAACTCGCTCCTTCTACATTGGCGCACTGGTCGGATCAAAGGAACACCCTGGCAGGCAGCCCTCCCCTGCCATAGTCAGTGGTGAAGCAGAGGGATGGTACATTTTGTCCGGGAAAACGAGGCGACTCATAGAAGTTGCTCATTTCGCGCGGCGAGCGGTGCAATCGCATTCGAGATGGGTTTTGTGGCCCACTACGTGAGGAAGCAAATGGAAATCAATGCTCTGTTGTTTGTTTAGATTTCTCTGAATAATTGTGCCTATCATCATGTTCAACACTCTCATAAGCTCTCTTTGTTTGTCGTGCCAATAAGACTCAACCTTACTAGTTTTCTTAGAAGCTCCCACATTCCCTACAAAAAACATGAAGTCAACTAAGCCCTACAGCCTAAACCCTAAATGCCTCAGGAGATTCACTGCATCCACCGAGACTGGGAAAGCGGCCTACTAGACTCAATGCTGCTGGGGGCCGTCGGTCGCAAGGACAGGTCTTGCTAGAGCTCTTAGTAGAGGATAAGTGCGTAAGGTCTCTTATGTCATATATCCCCTAAACTCTAACCCTTAAACCCTACACCCTACATCCTAAACCCTACACCCTAAACCCTAAATGGCCTCAGGAGATCATCTTACTGGCTCCGGATGCGGCTTGGCCCTGCCAGGGGTTTAGGGTTTAGGGTTTCGGGTTTAGGGTTTCGGGTTTAGGGTTTAGGGTTTAGGGTTTAGGGGGGTTTCGGACAAGGCCCGGAATGGATTTGAAGGGGCCGCAGTGGGAGATGTTTGAAGGGTAAATACCCCCCGATGTAGAGGGGGGCGCCAGGCAAGGCAAGCCTATTTGTTCGCTCCGTTGCTTAGGGTTTAGGGTTTAGGGTTGTTTAGGCTAACGCCCTACCAATTGACCCGCGGGTTTTGCTTGTTTTTCAGGTCTTTTGGAGTTGTTGCCATGTGTCTTCAGGTCTTTTCGCGTTGCGCATGTCTTCCGGCGTTTCTTTGGAGTTCGTGCCAGATGGGTGGGGGGGGGGGGGGGGGGGGGGGGGGGGGGGGGGGGGGGGGGTGGGGATAAGAACGTCATTCATATTGCATGCATGCCCAAAACACTGGTATTTACAGCGTTTTCACCTCTTTGTACAACACACTGCACAAGGATGTGGAAGAAGAAAATCTGAGCCCAAACCTGTCCTGCACCCTCAAGCCTTCATTCACCACCCCAACCACTGCAAGCCCAAAGAAAGCCAGTAGCCATTCCAGCCTCAGCCCGAATCTCAACAGCACCCCTTAACCCTTAACCCTAAACCCTCAACCCCAAACCCTCAACCCTAAACCCTGTACCCTGTACCCTAAACCCGAAACCCTAAGCCCTCAACCCTAAACCCTAAACCCTAAACCCTAAACCCTAAACCCTAAACCCTAAACCCTAAACCCTAAACCCTAAACCCTATCAACCCTATCAACCCTAAAACCCTACAAACCCTAAGCCCTGCAACCCAAACCCAAAACATCGCCTCGCGAGCTTACAGAAGCTGGTTGAGGGTTTGGGGTTTAGGGTCTGCAGGATTTTCGGACCTAAGGGCTTGAGAAGCGAAGGGCTTTGGGGCTTAAGTGCTCAGTAGTCTCTATAGGAAAGGCTTCAGGGCTTCAAGCTATGAAGCCCTAAACCCGAAACCCTAAACCCTCAAACCCTAAACCCTAAACCCTCCACCCTAAACCCTAAACCCTACACCCCAGGCCCTCAACCCTAAACCCGAAGCAGTGCAAGCCCAAACGTGTCATGCACCCTCAATCCTCAACCCAAAGCACCAAGCAGTGTAAGCCAGAAGTGTCATGCACCCTCAATCCTCAAACCAAAGCCCGAAGCAGTGCAAGACCAGAAGTGCCCTGCACTCTGAACTTTCTACAAAACACCGAAACGCTAGCACCGCTCGAGAAAAAATACTTTTTTCAATCGACAACACTATGACGTTTTCAAGGAACCACATAATTACGAATGCCATTTTTCTCCTGTCTCAAAAGGATTCCCCAGAACAGACCTTGTCAAACCCAACTGCGCGTTTTTCCGAGGAAAAAATACCATTCTGCCCTGTCCTTCCCCACACGCCCCCCCCAAAAAAAAAACAACTAAGCCCCGGAAGCTCCGGAGACGCTACTTTAACTTAAAAAATAAAAAACCCCATTTTATCCGCAAACCCGTGAAAACCTGTTTACGCGCGACCGTGACATGTAACACCAAAACGTGCTTTTCGCCTGGGAAAAACCACTAAAAAAAGGCTTCCCACAACCGCAAACTCGACAAAACATTCGCTCCAAACGTTCGGACGGTGCGCGACATTGGCCCCTGCTATCGAAACAATGTCATGCAGAAATCGTGCTTTTGCCTCGACAAAACTAACAAAACAACCCAAAAAACCAGCCTGCTACGGCGCGGGTCGTTTCGCGGGGCGTTACCTTGTTTAGGGTTTAAGGTTTTTGCTCTAGGGTCTAGGCTTTAGTGTCTGGGGTTTAGGGTTTCTGGCACTGTAAGTGATTAGGTAACAAAATGGGATGAGGCTTCGAGGTCAACATCCGGCTAAATCAGCCATCCTCCACGGGCATGGGCTTTCATCTGTAAGATGACCAGGATATCTTTGTGTAGCGATACTGCTTTGGGATGGAAACCTGACTTTTACACCACAGCTTTCACGTGAGCCCGCGGAAAATTTCCGCCAAATTTCTCAAAAGGCCTATAAACTCTGAGAACCCCAGAACCCCTAGGCAAAACTCCGCCCGAAACCCTAAGCCCTGTAAAACCCTCTAAACCCCCATGTATTTACAAAACCCGATAAAACCCTCTATAAGAGCCCTTCGACATCAGGAGCTGCGCACTTCCCCTGTACCTTACCCTAAACCCTATAAAGCCCTATAAACCCTCAAGACTAAGGCCCTTTCAAGCCTTTAAGGAGCTGCGCACAGACCCTATAATATGCCCTAAACCCTATATAAAGAAGCACTAAACCGTAAACCCTAAACCATAAACCCTAAACCCTAGCCCTAAACCCTAAACCCTAAACCCTAAACCCTAAACCCTTTCAGTCCTTCAAGGAGCTGCGCACCGACCCCCGGATGCCGTGGAAGGCAAGTCCCAGCTGCGGCCGCGCCGCAGAGCTCCGAGGACAACAAAGTTTAGGGTTTAGGGTTTAGGGTGTAGGGTGTAGGGTTTAGGGTTTAGGGGTTTAGGATTGAGGGTGTCGGGTTTAGGGTGGGGCTTAGGGTTTAGGGTTTAGGGTTTAGGGTTTAGGGTTTAGGGTTTAGGGTTTAGGGTTTAGGGGCTTAGGGGTTTAGGGCTTAGGGGTTGCTGCGATGTGGCTCAGGAGCTGTGAAGGTTGCGATGCAGACTAGCTTCGAACGCTTCGTGACATGCGAAGAGCAACCATGGCCCAGTTGAGGAGGGCCTTCTAACACGATTTTAGCCCGCCCCACGTCTCGGGGCGGCAAAAGACCTTGCTCTCGTTTTCGGGTTAGGCCTACGCTCAATATTCACTTGCCTGCAAAAAACTTTTTTCCGGCCAGTGCTTGAGGAGCTTCCTTCACAAGGCCTTGATTTTGAGTTCTGGGGGGGGGGGGGGGGGGGACGCCAACAACTCGGAAAACAAGTGACCGATTCCAGAACATGTTCATGAACAGATTTTGATGGCAGAACTGACCCCAGTGCTTTTTCCAGATTCTGAGGCTTCCAAGACCCTGCACCCTGCGTTCAGGGCCCGGGACAGGTCCTAGAGGTGCAAGGTTCCCTGCGACAGGTTTCCACAAGGTTTAGGGTTAGGGTCCATAGGGTTTATAGGGCTTAGAGAGGCAGAGTTTAGGGCTTAGGGATGTTAGGGTGGCCCCGATGGGTCCACCTTGCTTTCGAGGACTTGAGGGGGAGGCTTTCTGGTCGGCCCTCAGAGACCTCGCGCTGCGAAGCGACGTTCGCGGTGCCCGCGTCGAGCTTGGCCCAGGCGCGTGGAGGAGAGCTGGCAGGATGCGGCACTCTAGAGAATTCTTACCCTCTGCTTCATATACCTTAGAAGGAAATCCAGTAGTAGAGGGTATATGACCCCTATTCTTGGGATTCGTGTGGTCAGTCTGCCCTCAGTCACATGGCGTCACGTCATCTCGTGTCAGCTCAGGGGACGCAATTTTCATCCCGCACGGCTGGTGGCATGCGGTGCGGCCGCTTGAGCCCTTCACCGTGATCACAGGCAGGTGAGGGTTCGCGGAGATGGATCTCATCCTCAATCCATCTGTGCCTGCAGGCTTGGCAAAGCGGCCCGGATGACTGCCAACGAAAAAAGGAGCCAAGAGAGCCTGCTGCAAGAGCCTGCATGCTTGCCGAGAGCCTGTAGGCAAAGCGCCGCCAGCTTGGTAGAAATGCCTCTGGCGAAGGCTCCCGGATTGCCTCACCCGACAGCCCAGCATTGTTTCGGGTTCTTCTTCTTCAAAACTTGTTTTTCGTCTCGTCCCGCCTAGGCGTCGAGGTTACAGTCACGGACTCCGACGCTGCATCGGAGATCGAGTCTGCCCCGGCCGAAGAGGTGAGGATTGTTGCATCGCCCAGCATCGAATCATGTGGCACTGGCATGGCACTCTGTCCTCTTGTGTCCCTGAGGGTTCTAAAAAACTACGAGGGAAACCACCTAAACCCTGAACCCTGAACCGTGTAACCCTAACCGATTCGAGCTCCCTGAAATCTTCCAGGCCGCGACTCTCATTGCGACCTGGACTTCCGATGCCTCGCGGTCCATGGCCACACTCCGCGCTTTGGGACGACCTGAATTGGTCGCGCCTCGGTCTGGTCATAGAAAAATTGGGGTCTAGGCGGTTTAGGGTTCATAGGGTTGGGGTTTAGGGTTTGGGGTTTAGGGTTTAGGGTCTGGCCTTATGTAAATTGGGGTTTAGGGTTTACAGGCTTTAAGGTGGAGACCAAATGAACCCTAAGAAGGGTTTAGGGATTCAGATTGCCTTCATGGGGATTATGGCAGTAGAGGGTAGATGACCCCAATTTTAGGGTTCGTTTGGTTCCTAAAAGGAAGGGATCCTTCCTCTCAGGAATCAGGAGGGCGTAAGGGGCCCCACGTTCCATTGCTTTAAAGCTCTTTACGGGTGTCAGGGGCTTTTTTTCACATGAATAGTTCATTTTCCCTTTGAGGGTTATACTTTTAAGAGGCGGCCCCTAACATCTAGGGTATCCAAACAAAGGAAAAAGTTTAAGAGAAGTGATTACATGAAGTTCCCGGTACCCTAAACCCAAACCCTAAACCCTAAACCCTAAACCCTACACCCTTAACTCAGGTGACGAGTCTCGAGTCCATCTCCATGGAGTCAGAGCCCCAAGTGCCCGCGAGATGATTCGCCGCCAAGAGATGAGGAACTTCAACCGTGATGCGCAAGCCTACACGGGCCCTGGGTTTAGGGTTTAGGATGTAGGGCTTAGGGTTTAGGGTTTAGGGTTTAGGGTTTATAGGGTTTAGGGTTTAGGGTTTAGGGTTTAGGGGACTCAGGCCCGGCGACATCAAAGCCAAGCCCTAAACCTTAGCCCGTTGAACACTTCGAGTCTTTGAGGTTCCCTCGGGCCGATGCCTTGGCACAGGCTGATCAGCCGGTTCTTGAGAAGAGGGCGTGGGGAGTTTGGGGTTCCATTCGGGTTTGGGGTGTAGGGTTGAGGATTTATGTAGGGTTTAGTGTTTAGGGTGTACTGTTTAGGGTTTGTTTAGGTTTTCGGGTTTAGGGTTTAGGTCCCTCAGGTTGCAGGCTTCCAGCGGAGCTGGCAACTTCCCCGTCCAGACGGTTGCCGAACATGTACTGTGCACTTCAGATTTGGCTTGGCAGTACGTTTGGGTACATCCTCAAAACTAATTACACTCTCATATTCTCATCGGGCGCAGGCTCAACACCATAAACACAAAACCCGCAGCCCTAAACCCTCGAGAAGGCCGCACACACAATGCTTCACAGAGGCGAAGAGAAGCCGGTCAAGATGGCAAGAATGCTCAAGTCCCATTCTTCAGCGCGTTGTCGCCTTCAGCTTGTCAATCGAAAAATCCTAGCAGGGTTTTGCTGTGTAGGGTTTAGGGTTGAGGGTTTAGGGTTACTAGGGTTGATGCCAAGAGCGTGCTGGAAGCGTGTGGAATGCTTCATCTTGGAATAAAACGACTGGGCGCCAAATAGTGGTTCCCGAAAATTAGGGGTACCTTATTGGGGTCCTTATAAGGGAATCCTACGATTTGGCGACGGTCCCTTATTTTCGTAAACCCCCCAAATGAACCCTAGAAGGGTTCATGGTCCATAGACCTTACTAGCTGTTTTAGTAGTATAGGGTACATGACCCTTACCTTGGGGTTCATTCTAGTCCCAAAGAATGAATGCGATATGTCACCTGCTTTTTGCTACCCTAAACCCTAAACCCTAAACCCTAAACCCTAAACCCTAAACCCTAAACCCTAAACCCTAAACCCTAAACCCTAAACCCTAAACCCTAAACCCTAAACCCTAAACCCTTTTTTTGGGCCAGGGTGTCGCGTTGGACGCCGCGCCCGTCATGCGCCAGCTCTACGCAGAACTCACGGAGGCCGGCGGACGACAACCCGGGGAGTCCAAGGCCCCTTATTTCAAGAGTATCCCTTGAATTAGATCATTTTTCTTAGTAGTAGAGTAGGTAACCTTTAACCTTTTTGGGTTAGTAGATTCCCCTTAGAATCCCAAAGGTTAACCTTTAGAACCCCTAGGTACTGGACAGCTAAGTTTTGGTTTAAAGAATATTCCTGAAACCACATAAGGAACCCTCCCACATTTTAAGGCATATTGCTTCAGCCATAGAAGGAACCCCCCTCCATGTTCAGGAATATTCCTTAATTTATTAAGGGTATTGGAGTCCCTGGGAACAAACCAGCGCAATGGGCGTCGCTGAAGCCCTTGGGGACCAAAGGAACCTAAAGAATTGGGATGTGCCCTGTACTACTGCAATCCCTATTCAGGCATATGAACCACCAACCCTTCTGGGGGTTCACTTGGTCCCCCAGGGCTTGGATGAGTTTCACATAGAATGATCTGTGTTGCCGGCGTGGCCGATTTGAGTTTCCTGCATCCCCAAACCCTGAGCTCTAAACCCTAAACCCTAAACCCGAAACCCGAAACCCTAAACCCCAAGCCCTAAACCCTAAACCCTAAACCCTAACATCATCTCCAGCCAGGGTGGTGCGGAGGCCGTTCGTAGCCTCGGAAGTGCGGAGTTTGCTGCGGCAGGGACCAGGCGCATGGGGGTAGGGAGTCATCCTCGGATCCTGGGACCCTCTTTACCTTCAGTTTTATGGGTTATACCTACTAATTTGGGTTTAGGGCTTAGGGTTTAGGGTCTAGGGTCTAGGGCTTAGGGTTTAGGGTTTAGGGTTGGGACCCTCTTTTCCTACAGTTATGCCTGGGTTGTTACTACTAGCAAAATTTCAAGGGTTACTACTATGCTGTAGGTAACTAGAGTCCCAGGATGCTCAGGAGAAGAGCGAAGAACTCAGCAGCTTGCATGTAGTCCTTGGCACAGAAAGGCCTTGGCAGCAGTTGCAGACGTCTTTGCTCAAGGGTTTAGGGTTTAGGGTTTAGGGTTTAGGGTTTAGGGTTTAGGGGTCGGTCCATGCCACTCCGCTGCCGACTTCGAAGCTCTCAAGCCATCTTTATTAACCCAGGAGATGATGGGAGGTGGTATGGGATGCTACTCATCCTTATCATGTTTTGTAACTGTACATGTCTCGCAATCCTGCGGGCCGATGAACAACAACCTGCCCTGCAACCGAAAGTTTGGGGTTAGGGTTTCGAGTTTAAGTCTATGAGAAAGAGAGCAGGCAAGCCAAGCCAAACGCAGTCTTAACCGAAACCAAGTGCGCAACGCCCTATGTCATCCCAAGAAGTCTCTGCATGAAGAGAACATCATCATGAGGCAGGGCTTAGGGTTTAGGGTTTTCGGGTGCGCTACGTAGACCGCCGCCGAATGCCCTGATGCGGTGACTCACGACGCGGGGCTATGGCCAGCGATGTCCCGGCGACGGCACAAGGACCTGCGACCAAATTCTCAATGAGCCCATGTAGCGGTGTTCTTAACCGTGGGAACCACATGAACCCTAAACGGGTTTATGGTGTCATATTCCCTTAATAGGGATTATAGGTAGTACTGTATAGGGTATAACCCTAAACCCTAGACCCCAATTTTGGGATTCATCTGGTCCCCAGTTTCAACCTCCCAGAGGCGGCGACTGGCGCAGCTTTGTACCCCCAAGACACGAGGCCGGGAAAGGGCATTGCCTTAACTCTGTGTAATCTGTATATATGTATGTACATATACTTATACACATATATATAGTTTTCTACATATGATATTATATAGTGAGTTCTCTAAATTGTGGTCCCTTTTGGGGTTAAATAAAAAAACTTTGCACTGAATATGAGGGGCCGCCTCATGCTAGTAACCCCAAAAGGGACCGTATAAGTGACCATATCAAAGAGTATATGTATATGTATATGTATATGTCTATGTCTATGTGTATGTGTATGTATATGTGTATGTATATATATATATATATATATGCTACCCCCCCCCCCCCCCAAAGATCTAGGTATTTTCATGATTTGGCGATGTCAGGTTGAAGATTTGCGTGGGCCCGGAGGCAATGTGAAGTTGAAGATTTGCATGGGCCCGGATAGGTGCAGATGAGTATAGGACGTCGATTGGAAAGATAAGCAAGATACCATAAGCCCAGGAAGTATTCAAGTGCATAAGGTGATGTGGAGAAACACTGCATTCCTGAAGACGCGAGAATACTGTGAGCAAATCTCCTTTCACTATGTTACGGGTTCTGGACCTTCCAAAAGCCCGACTTACTCTCAAGTATGTGGGTGTTCATCTCATCATTCCCAAAGGACCCCCAAAAAGAGTTATCATTTCTCAAAGATAAGACTCATTTATACACTATCCTCACTTACAAGTAAACAGCTCAATAAACCCTACTCGATTAAGGTTCAGATTAATTCGATCAAGAAGTAGGGTCAGACCCTATTCCAAGATTTATGTGTCTTAAAGGTTTAGGGTTTAAGGTTTATATAGGCATTTAAACCTAAGCCGTCAATTCGACCGAAACATTTGAACTTTAAACCCTCTTGGGTGTAAGGTTGAAAGGCTTAGGGTTTAACATTTAGGCATCTAAACCTCAACCGCCATTTAAACCTGAACCCTTAACCGTAAAACCCTTTTGGGTTGAGGCTTAAAAGGTTTAGGCCTTAAGATTTAGGCATTTAAACCTAAGCCCATCGAGTGTAAATCTTAACGGGCCTAAACACTTAACCTTTAAGCCCTATAGGCTATAGGGTTAAGGTTTAAAGGATTAGGGTTTAAAAGTTCAATAGTAAGCCCATAGAGTTTAAGCCTTAAGGGGCCTAAACGCTTCACCTTTAAACCCTATAGGCTATAGGGTTAAGGTTTGAGGGTTTAGGTTTTAAAAGTAAGCCCATAGAGTTCAGACCCCAAGGGGCCTAAACGCTTAACCTTTAAACCCTATAGGCTATAGGGAAGGTTTAAAGCTTTCGGATTCAAGATTTAGGCATTTAAACCCAAGCCCACCTTAAGGGTTTAAGGTTTTAAACCCTCAAGGCTTAAGAAATACCCTAAGCCTTTAGACCCTATAGGGCTGAAAGGTTAAAGAGAGCGTAATGTCTGGGCATTTATACTTTCAACGCCTATAGGGTTAAACCCTTTTAACGTTTTAGAGCCCTACAGGGCTTCAGGGTTCTGACCCTAAAGGGCTTAGGGTTCTCGTTTACATGCTTAAACCTTAAACCCTTAAGGTTTAAGCTCTATGGGCTTGTGTTTTAATGCCAAATCTTAAACCCTAAGCCTTTCAACCTTAACCCTATGGCCTATAGGGTTTAAAGGTTGAGCGTTTAGGACCCTTAAGGTTTAAACTCTATGGGCTTACTGTTGAACTTTTCAACCCTAAACCTCTAAACCTTAACCGTGCCTAAACACTTAACCTGTAAGCCCTATAGGCTATAGGGTTAAGGTTCAAAGGTTAAGCGTTTAGGACCCTTAAGGTTTAAACTCTATGGGCTTACTGTTGAACATTTCAACCCTAAACCTTTAAACCTTAACCGTATAGCCTACAGGGCTTAAAGGTTTAGCCCACGATCCCGAAATCTATGGGCTTGTGACACATGACCTTGAGCGACGTCACGAAATTTACTTCTGAGACTTTATAGCGACGTCACGAAAGCTAAAACTGAGACTTTACAAGACGTGAACCCGATTGAAAAACGATTGAAACGATTGAAATTCAATCGGGGGCCCGATTGAAAAACGATTGAAACGATTGAAGTTCAATCGGGGGCCGGATTGAAGATTGAAGATTGAAGATTCCCAGAAAAAAGCTTTCCGGGAATCTTCAATCTTCAATCCGGTCTCCGATTGAATTTCAATCGTTTCAATCGTTTTTCAATCGGGCCCCCGATTGAATCTTAAAGGTTTAGCCCACGATCCCGAAATCTATGGGCTTGTGACACATGACCTTGAGCGACGTCACGCAATTTTCTTCTGGGACTTTATAGCGACGTCACGAAAGCTAAAACTGAGACTTTACAAGACGTGAACCCGATTGAAAAACGATTGAAACGATTGAAATTCAATCGGGGCCCGATTGAAAAACGATTGAAACGATTGAAATTCAATCGGAGACCGGATTGAAGATTGAAGATTGAAGATTCCCTTTCCGGGAATCTTCAATCTTCAATCTTCAATCCGGTCTCCGATTGAATTTCAATCGTTTCAATCGTTTTTCAATCGGGCCCCCGATTTTTTTAATCGAGCTCACAATTTGAAAATACGACCACGCACATATGAAGACTCGCACATATCAAGATTTACATGTCCATATTGAGATTTACATGTTTAGCTAGCCCCCCACCCCCAACCCTAAAACCCTAAAACAGATCCCAAAACCACGAAAATACCTAGATCTTTGGGGGGGGGGGGGGGGGGTACCATATATATATATATATGTATGTATATGTATATGTATATGTATATGTGTATGTGTATGTATATGTATATGTATTATGATACAGATATACATATATATATATACATATGTATATGTCTGCCTATGTGTGTACATATATATATATATATACATATATACATGTGCATAGTCAACAATCCCTTTAACCCGAAGACCTAACATCCGAAATCCAAAGCCCAAAGCCCGTAAAACTGCTACTTCTGATTGGTGTGGCCCCTTCTTAGATCATCGCCCCGCACGAGCTCGCAGCGGATGCTGCCCTGGTGGACGTCTCCGTGGGTCCATCGCCTTGTCCCGCACTGCAGCCTGGTTGCAGCGGTTTAGGGTTTAGGGTTTAGGGTTTGGGGTCACAGCCTACTTGTGCAGACTGGTACAAGCATTATAAAGCCCCATGTATAAACATTGCCAGGCAGCCTACTTAGAACGAGTAGGTAGGCTTCTGACCATCAAGGTCATATGGCCTGTATATCTATAGAAAACACACAAAAGAAGAAAAAGCTTCTCCGACATATCAAAATTTATATGTATAACATATTGTACTGCATGTCTCTCTCTATATATATATACGTAGTATATTATATTTTGCCTTACTATGATTATGTATTGAAATACTATATTTTATTGTGTAGAGTATAATATTTATTGTATATTATACAGTACGTGTGTATATATGTATGTATATATACATATATGTATGTATGTATACCTATTTATGTACAGCGTACTCAAAAATATACACGTAAAACACATACGTATGTATGTGCGTGTGCCTGACATTCTAAGGAGCATCAAGTTGCAGTCGGCTTTGAGTTTTTGAGGTGGCAGCCCCTAAACCCTAAACCCTAAACCCTAAACCCTAAACCCTAAACCCTAAACCCCCTTGAGGTGGCAGCCCTTTCTGGAGCGCCCGGCTGGACCCCGGGGCGAGCGCCGATTCGCTCCACGGTAGCCCGCAACAAAGAATGAAATTACAACTTGGTAACTAGATATATCGGACAGTAACAATGTGCAACATCAACATAAATATGCATATATCTATAACATATATATATATATATATTATTGTTTTCTTTATTTATATCTATATTTATATGTATATTTTTACTTATACTTATACACGTATATATATATATATATACACACGTGTTATACAGGTAAATACCTGTTGTAGGTTAGGGGTTCCTGAAGTCAATATAGTAGCAAGCATCAAAAGCACGGGAGCATGGGTCCACCATGCTGGAATTGTTCAAGGGGTATAGTTTAAGGTTTAGGGTTTGTTTCGCTAAACCCGATAGCGCCTAAACCTACCATAGGAAATGATGAGCCTGAATCTCAGGTGGATGTCCTCGCAACGGCGGCAGTTCGACCGCAGAGATGTGGGGTGACCTGGCATGCAGAAGGCAGAATGCAACATTGCGTGGAGACCATATAACAGACTCTGCGTAATATAGCACAATGTGACGCAATATAGTTTTTTTTTGTCGGGTGAATGAACCGATGAGGCACGGCGTGGGCATTTGGCAGTCCACCTTCCATGGGGAATCTAGGCAAAAAATGGGCCAAGTCAGTCGAGCAGTGGGGCCTTCTGAAGACCTTGTCGATCGCTACGATCCACATCAGGACATTGCTCACATCTTCCAGCAGGGCCGGCGAGTGCGTTACATGCCAAACGACCTGCGAGAGGCAGGTGCCTTAAGGGATGGGTTGGGGAGCATGCCGGAATCTGGGCCACGGATTTTTTCAGGCAGAACCGCACACCCAACCGAACCGTAGCTCCTAAACTCGAAGCCCTAAACCCGAGCGCAGCATACCCATGAGCATCCCTAGACCCTAAACCCTTTATCCTAAAACCTAAGCCCTAAACCCTTATGAAGCCTAAACCCTAAACCCTAAACCCTAAGCCCTAAACCCTGAACCCTAAACCCTTAACCCGGGTGCATGCTCATCGGCTCAGGATGTCTCCTTGCCACGACTTGCGGCAACGACATGGAGACCAGAGGCACCTCCTAAGCCTTATAAGAGCCCAGTGGTACCCTTTACCCTTTTTTTTGTTCTGGGTTCCCTTATTATAAAGTAACCAACCCAAAAAGGGTGCCCTTATTGTTACTGGGCTACCAAGTTATAAGAGCCCAACACCTGCCGTTGTTTTATTTTGAAAAGAAAAAACTTGTTGAATTCTTAGAACCCTAAACCCTAAGCTTTGGATGTTCCCCCTAAGGGGGAACATCCTAAACCCTAAACCCCTAAACCCCTTGGCAGAACGTAGGCAATGTGGGTTCGCAAGGTAAGCTTCTAGGCCCGTTTATGCTTTGGTTCCTCAGTGGGGTTTCGGATCAGTGTGGGTATTCTCGCAAGGGTTTAGGGGTTTGGGATGGGGTTCAGGGTTTAGGGTTTAGGGTTTAGGGTCTAGGGTCTAGGGTTTAGGGTTTAGGGTTTAGGGACATGGGTTAGGTTTTGCAAGGGTCAGCTAAGCTTTTTTTTGGGACCCCTTAGACAAATATGCCCCCAAATCTCTCGAATCCGTACTCGAGGACCACCCTCACCCCAAAGACCCTAAATAGACAGAGACTCCCCATGCGCCGGCAAAGCTCTGTCAGAAGAGGAGCTCGAGGCGTGCCCGGAATGCTCCATCTGCTTGGCAGCACTAGACACTTGGAGCTTGGAAGGCTTTCGGGTTTAGGGTTTAAGGGGAAGAGTATGCAGAGCCCAGTACTTTTTGTTCGCTAGTGTTGGGCTGCAGCCAGATCATGATCGCTGCCCGTGTCATTTGAGTGCTTCGACTGCGCAGAATGTATAGAGTCCGCAAGGGAGGGGGGTTCATGGGGGTACGGTACCTAGAAGAAACCTGAGGGAAGCTGAGAGAGCCTTAGGGGGTAGTGTTACATACCCCCCCTAAACCCTAAACCCTAAACCTAAACCCTAAACCCTTAAGAACCCCCTTCAACAATGGCGCACAAGGACCCTGGCTGCAAAGTATCTTCTCTCCCATGCCGCTGCAGCCCCAGGAGAGGAAAGGAGCGTGGCTGTGAGAAGTCTTGAAGTTCTGGAAGTTGAGCTTGATCATTCACCCTAAACCCTTATCAACCCCTAAACCCTAAACCCTAAACCCCGGTAGCAGCAAGCCAGGTCACACGTTCCACTTCGAGTGCATCGAAAGATGGATGCTCCAAGCCGCGCGCGTGAATCGGGCCATTTGCTGCCCACTGTGCCGAACCCACGTTCCGGGTGAGGGTGCCCATGGGCTCTGATCAAACCTCGGGGACCATAAAGAACCCTAAACAAGGTCCTGGTTCACATTGCCTTCATTCAAGATAGGTAGTGTAGTTTCTATGACCCCCCAAGCATGGGGATTCATCTGGCGCCCCAAGAGGGAGTCGATGTTCGGGAGTGGATGCCCAGTGACCACCCCTTCAGCGCCGCAGCAAGGCTGACATCGGATGAAGAGTTCAATACCTTTTTTGCCGACATTGATGCGATTTCTAGTATACACCCACAAACAGATTCGGTTGAGCTCCCTTTGGTGTAGCGAGCTTCTGTGCAATCAGCGAAGATGCTGGGGATCCACCAAGACGGTGTCCTGGACCCGCGCGACAGATGGCTGGACCCTGCGCTGAGAAAGTATGGGCTGCTTGGTGGGTGTGGGGGGTGGGGGGGCGCACGCTTTCCCATGTCGTGACTCCTGCCAAATCCGAGTCTGCTCTTCACTTTACCCTAAACCCTAAACCCTCAACCTAAACCCGAAACCTTAAACCCTAAACCCTAAAAAGGCGCCTGACAACGAGCTCTACCCTACTCGCGACAGCCATGGAATCTCTGTGGGAGCCCCGGAAGCGCCTCTGGAACCACGTGTGAGATTCACTGTGAGACTCTTCAGACACCCTTGACGTCCTCTGGACCTTATCATATTGAAATTTTGGTTAGTAGAACCCCCCCCTCCCCCTAATCCCTCTGAGGGCGTAATAAGTTAGTGGTTCTTAGCATGGAAACAGATACCATACGCAATCCCTTGAATGGTATGCATATACAGGGAGGCGTACCAACTTCCCGCATTCCCTACCAAATCCTCAGCGCTCAGCCCTAAAGTAGGACAATTACTGTAGATCCCTGGAAGCCTGAGCCCTAAACCCTAAACCCTCAAGCCAAAACCCTAAACCCTCAATCCTCAACCTTAAACCCTAAACCCTAAACCCTACAAGTGCCTGCCAGGCTTCGCTGTATGTCGGCTCTGTACCCTCTGCTGACCTTGCGCTTCGCCTCAGCTGAATGGGTTTGGGGTTTAGGGTTTTGGGTCTAGGGTTTAGGGTTTAGAGTTTAGGGTTTAGGGTTTCGGGTTTAGGGCTAGCTCAGGGGTTTGAGTTTCGAGCACCTCGCAAGAATGTGCTCTGAAGGAGTAAGGGCAACGAAGAAGTTGCAGAAATCCAAGCTACTAAGCCCCTTTAAGGACTGAGCTTTGGCATACCTTGGGAGTTCTGGACGCCGTGGTGGTCGCGAGCTTAGATGCTGCTTTCGCTCCATGGTGCTCTGCGATCCCAACTTCGCTGCAATTGCGGGAAAGGCCTCTAAACCCTAAATCCTAAACCATAAGCCCTAAACCCTAAACCCTAAACCCTAAACCCTAAACCCTAAACCCTAAACCCTCAACCCTCAACCCTCAACCCTCAACCCTAAACCCTAAACCCTAAACCCTAAACCCTAAACCCTAAACCCTAAACCCTAAACCCTAAACCCTAAACCCCAGCCCTAAAACACTATGCCTCTCCACCCGACTTCACCTTCAGATCCTAGGAGCGCAACGCGCAGCTGCGCGGAGTCCTAGGCCGGGAGTGTTGGTTTAGGGTTTATTGTTTCGGGTTTCGGGGTTAGGGTTTAGGGTTTCGTGTTTAGGGTTTAGGGTGCAAACTCCAGAAAATTAAAAAATGATTTAAGGATGCTTAGAGCTGGGATTCCATTTCGTATACCTGTCGGAATGAGGATGTTCCAACTCTTGGAGTTTACTGTGGGGCTTTTTGGGGTTCTGGTTTGGCGTTTATGGTGCCGGGTCTTGGAACCCTCTTTCCCTACAGTTTTTATGGGTTATGCCTACTAATTAGGGGTAAACCTTGGAATTTAGCGGGGCTTTTGAGTCTCGAGTTGGTAGAACTGTTTTGTAGAGTTTGGGGGGGGGGGGGGGGGGGTTTGTCATTGGGAGTTTCACAGGATTTCTTGGGTGGCTGGTGGCTGTCCCTAAACCCTAAACCCTCAACCCTAAACCTTCAATTAAACCCTAAACCCCAAACCCCTAAACCCCTAAACCTGTAAGCCACTAAACCCCTAAACCCCTAAACCCCTAAACCCCTAAACCCCTAAACCCCTAAACCCCTAAACCCCTAAACCCCTAAACCCTAAACCCCTGAACCCTAAACACCTAAACCCCTAAACCCCTAAACCCTAAACCTTAACCCCTAAACCCTAGCCCTAAACCCTAAACCCTCGCCCTAAACCCTAAACTTCCTGCCAGGGCCGGGGCCCGCTGGACAGCCACTGGCTGCCAAGCCATTGCTGGCAATCGCGGATCTGGCGCCTGGGACAGGGAAGCACTACAGGGTTCAGGGTTTAGGGTTTAGGGTTTAGGGCTTAGGGCTTAGGGTTTAGGGTTTAGGGCTTAGGGTTCTTTGTGGTGCTTTGCTGTAGCTTAAGCTCATTCGCCGTTTTGGGTTTATTGGGTTTCTTAATAGCAGCTAAAAGGTTCTTTTTTACTACCCTCCTAAGGGCAAACCAGGGATTAAGGGCTGGATGGGGTTTAGAAGAACAACATCTCGAATAAAAAGACTACTTGTCATACTAATGCAACTACTAATAATCTCAAATTCTAGTACTGATCAACATACCACTAAGAACAAATAAATCATGAAGATATGGATTGTCATTCCCGTACTGTAAAAATCGTAGCAAGAATACTAGTGTATATGCAGCATACCAATAGTCATACCCATAAGAATACTAAGAATAAGAAGAATAATACAATATAATTAATACTACTACAAAGCAAAAAAATCAATGAATCAATACTAAAGATACGAAAACACTAACAGTCATACTAATAAGAAAAACCCTAAACCCTAAACCCTAAACCCTGAACCAATGCTCATAGTAAGAAGAAGAAAAAAGGTCCATCAGCTGCTTCTAAGAGAGAGACCGCCCCAGACTTCAAATGCCCTGAGCCGTGCCCCGGCCCCTCTTCAAGATGATAATCAAGGTCAGTATGTTTTGGGTTTAGGTTTTAGGGCTAGGGTTTAGGATTCAGGGTTTAGGGTTTAGGATGGTTTAGGGTAAATCCAGCAGCGCAGACTCTCGTGACGGCCTACAACATTGCCAATGGCACCATCTCAGCCGGGGCCTCGCCAGCACAATTCAGCCAGAGTCCTTGGGGACTAAAGGAGCCCTAGAAGGGTTTAGGGTGTAGGGTTTAGGGTTTAGGGTTTAGGGATTTTAGGGTTTAGGGTTTAGGGGGGGTTAGGGTCCATATACCTGAATCGGGGGTTATAGTAGTATAGGGTAGCATGACCCCCAAGTTGGTCCCCAAACATCTCAGAGTTCAGGTCGTCACCCGCAGCAACAGCACCTCGCTTGTGGATCGCGTCATGGCGGCCGCCATCAGCCTGGGTCGGGTCCTCGTGTCCCTGCGACGGGAAGAGATGATGGCGCAGCCGACCGGGAAGAATAGAGGGTTTAGGGTTTAGGATTGAGGGCTTTGGGTTTCGGGTTCAGAGACCCTGCAGGATCTTCATCTTCAAGGTATTGGAGACGGACATAGGAAGTTACACGTGTCGGTTCTCTAATTTCTTTGTAGTCCGAGCCCATGTAGGAAATTGACCGTTTCTTTGACACTGGAACCCGACGCCGATCTTTGTAGCACTCAAGAGTGTGTCGATGTGAACTCAACATCTTTATGATGCTTTAGCTGCCGTTAGGTAAACCCCTAAACCTTGGTAGACCATGGGCCTTTTTGCGATGGGTTATGGGCTCCCTTGTAAAGTAGCCAACCAGAAAAGAGTGTCCTTATTAGAATATGGGCATTTCCCAAAATTGGGGTACCCCTTTCGAAAAAGAAGAGAATCCCCTAAAAAAAAAACCCACAAAGGGCACCCCTATTTTCGGAAACCCCCATATGGTTACTGGGCTACCAAGAAATTATAGGGTACTTAACAGGGAGGAGTTCATGGGGTAGGTACCTTAAGGAGGCTTAGAGAGCCTTAGGGAGCGGAACCTTGGGTTACATACCCCCCTGGAGCCCCCCCTCCCTCAAGAGCCCTATAAAGAAACTCCCAGGAAGAAGCCCTAAACCCTAAACCCTAAACCCTAAACCCTAAACCCTAAACCCTAAACCCTAAACCCTAAACCCTAAACCCTACACGCTAAACCCTAAACCCTAAACCTCAGCTGCAGGCAGCGCAGCGGCGGCCACGGTGCCGGTAGGCACTGGGCCTCCGGAAGAGGCAGCGGCGGTTTCGGCTACGTAGTTGGGCATCTTTGGGTTAGGGTGTATTTGGGTTTGGGTGTAGGGTTTAGGGTTTAGGGTTTAGGGTTTTCGGATTTAGGGTTTAGGGTCAGGGTTTAGGGTTTAGGGGGTAACTTCGGGCTCCTTCGTCTGGAGTAGTACGGTGCCACTGGGAGAACCCGGAGCTTATTCGGTTGAAGAGGATCATGTTGAGGAAAACTTTTCCGAGAGTACTTAAGGCCAATCCTAGTAATCACCCTAAACCCTAAATCCTAAACCTTGCAAAAGCAAAGGCAGCAGCACAGAGCTTGCGGCCAGGTCTCCAATCCAGGACGTGGGCTCGTCCTTAGCACGAAGAGCTTTCCCACCACTGCCCTGCAGCTGCCGGGGCCTTTGTCTTGCCAGCCTAGGGTTCAGGGTTCAGGGTTCAGGGTTCAGGGTTCAGGGTTTAGGGTTCAGGGTTCAGGGTTCAGGGTTTAGGGTTTAGGGTTTAGGGTTTAGGGATTAGGGATGCATAGCCTCGCGAGTATGCCAGTGGCCGGGTTTTTTTGATGCAGTTGTTGGTGTCAGCTCAATGACCATGGATCGGCAAAGCCTCTCCAGTAGCTTCGAAGCCAGCGTGTCATGCAAGGACAGGCATTTCCCTGGATCTGACCGTTCAGACCATCGTGGATCGGCCATATCCAGGTCCCGGGGGGAATGTGCTCATGGCTTCAGGTCAAGATTCTCGGAGCGATGCACTTCTAGAGGGCCTTTTTTAATTTTGCATCCGGAGCTATGATGCGTTGGCCGGAAAAGCTCAGCAAACGAACTCTCAGACCCGGCACACGTGGCTGCCACTAAAAGCCTTGCAAGTCCACGAAACCCTAAACCCTAAACCCTAAACCCTAAACCCTAAACCCTAAACCCTAAACCCTAAACCCTAAACCCTAAACCCTAAACCCTAAACCCTAAACCCTAAACCCTAAACCCTAAACAGCCTAAATCCTCAAGCTCATCCAGGTTTGCAGACTCCACCTCTGGGATCCCTTCTCGCCGAGCTCCGGGAGAACGTGCCCTCCACAGGGTTTAGGGTTTAGGGTTTAGGGTTTACAGACTGCTGCGGGGTGATGCCATTCTTGTGGGTTCGGGGTGTTTTGGGTTTTGGAAAAAGTCTGTAGGGTATATGATCCCGATTCTAGAGTTTCGGGACAAGTTGTAGGGTACATGATCCCAATTTCAGGGTTCATGTGATCCCCAAGGATGTCTGACGTCAATCGCAAACGCGAGCTCCATCGGAGCCCTAGCGGCTTTTTTGTTTTACACGTGCGTTACGAGCTATGCAACGGATCTCAGAGTTTTCGCATGTATACCCAGTCGGTTACATCCAGAAACAAAACCCGAAACCGGGGGACGAAGGGGATTCGATCCAGGCGCCTCCGGAATCGCCTAAGTTTGGTGGAGAGGTGGTGGAGTCCTGCTGTGGAGTCCAGCAAGGGGACCCTCCAGGACCGGTGCTCTTCGCCCCCACCCTTCAACCTGCCTTGGCTGTGTTTCGCGCCTCAACCAACGCATCGAGTCGCACTGTTCCCGCGGCACAGGGTTTTCTCCCAAGCGTGGGTTTTCCTGTGCCCGAAATAATGTCAAGTAACAACCCTGCTGTGGAACGACTCGTCTTAGCTGGTTTTCGGCCGGTCTAAGAAACAGTTGCTCGCTGCGTTGGATGCGTTTTAAATGGCAGTCAATTCCCTTTCGGTCGGCAAAATTCGTCCATCTTGTGGCCATGGGCTATCTGTGGGCCATCGCTCTTTGCGTGGTGCAGGGGCTGCGGCAGGTGCAACAAGCAGCTGAGACTTGGGTGGTGGTCGAGAACTTGAATTACCAGCAGGTTCAAGAGGAGCTCCTGAAGTATTTGGCAGAAGATGCGAGGAGATCGGGGAAAGGACAAAAACAAGAAGGAGGAAAATTGCAATTTCAGGAGAAGCAAGACCTCAGAAAGGTGCTGCGAAACCTCGCGAAGAACCCATCATCTGTCAAGTGCCAACTGGGCCAGCTGCGGGAAAGCCTCACTCAGGTATGCAGGAACGGTGGATTAGGTACTTGGCCCGAAACGAAAAGAAAGTACTTTTCTCGTTGCAAAGCCATGACTTGTTCTGAGAGTACTGATGACATCTTCCTCTATGGGAATGACTTGGTGCAAAGCTTGCAAGTCCCAGATGAGCAAGTTTGGTTTCATCAAGTCCCCAAGAGAGTCTATCCTTTGGTACAGAGCCTTTGGTTTTTGCGCAACTGGCTGTTGCCACATGCTGCGGCCAAGAGCGCGGCCATTTTGTGGGCAGGGTTCTGGACAGACCCCAATGATCCAAAGGGCCCTGAGAGCCGAACCTCCAAAGAGAAACTGTTCAACTTTGCAAAGATCACCGACCATCAAACAGTTCATCCAGCCACACTTCTTGGACAGTTGATCGAAGAAAACGGGGACCTTGACAACTGCTATACCCACACAGAGGAGAATGAGCTCACCCAGAACATGTGGTCATTCGCCAGCATGTCCTTTGTGGAGGGTATGCGAAAGAAGCAGCAGAGCGCGGTCGTTGCTCTCGTGAACAAAAAGATGGATGGCGCACGGCCTTTGTCGGAATCGGTCTTATTTCAACACGAGGTGCCGACCGTCGGAATGTCTGCCTGGGGTGTCTCCTTTTGGTCCCCACAAGTTGTGATCATTGACTTGATGGGCACGTGTAAACAGACGAGCCCAGCTTTGCGTCAGCAACTCTTCAAAGGCCTCCCTGTGTGGGCGAAGTTGAAGAAAGAGAGGAGATGGACTTTTGATGACTTCGTTGCGCGATCGCGTCTGCAGTGGGCTTGCCTTGATTGCCCGGAAGACAAGTGTCACTTGGACGAAGACTTGGCAACCTTCGTGAATCTCATTGTGCAGGATGAACATGTCCCAGACATTGGGGATGACGAACGGTGGGATCGCGTTGAGAAGAGTTTGCAGGCTGCGAAGAGTGTCGCCAATATCATGGAGGCTTTGAAGGATTTCAGTCTGCCAAGCGCCTTAAAGACGTTGAAGGTCCAAAATAGCGTCGCTGTGAAAGAAGTGCGCCAGGGACTGGAGGAGATTCAGAATTCTGCTTGGTGGAAGGATTTCCCCCAGAAACAGCCGCTGCAAAGAGTGTTGATGGCGCGCGTGGGAGAGAATGGAACGACCATGCTGCACTTGGCTGCAGTTGAAGGCAAGCTGAATTTGGCGAAGTTTCTGGTGCAGATGCCTTTTGTGGACATCAATGTGAAAGACCGTTTTGGTTGGACCCCTCTCCATGAAGCAGCTGCGAAAGGCAAGATATCCATAGTAGGAACCCTACTGGCGGCCAATGCCAACTTCCTTGCGGAGGATCATCTTGCCCAGAGGCCACTTGAAAAGGCACGTTTAACGAATCAACAAGCCGTCGTTGGGTTGCTGAAGAGTCAGAAGGGCAAGGTAGTTTCCCAGCGCAAAGCTCGCACGGGGAAAGGCCGCTGATGAAGACAGGCCCTAGGCTGCAGGGTTTAGGGTTTAGGGTTTAGGGTTTAGGGTTTAGGGTTTAGGGTTTAGGGTTTAGGGTTTAGGGTTTAGGGTTTAGGGTTTAGGGTTTAGGGTTTAGGGTTTAGGGTTTAGGGTTTAGGGTTTAGCAGCTCATCAGAGGGCTTCTTGGAGGGAGGAGTGAGATGCGGGATGCAAAGCCTGAGAGTCTTGGTGGTGTCGTGTCCTCCATCTTGTGTTTGTGTGGGTTGATCCCAAAAGCCAAAACCCTAAGCCCTAAATCCCAAGCCCGAAGCCCTAAAACCCTAAGCCCCTAAGCCCCTAAGCCCCTAAGCCCGAAAAGCCTAAACCCTGCAAACCAGAAACCCCAGGTTACCGCACAGGGTGGCCCGCCACTTTGCCTAGGCGCGGGGGGCGGGGAGGGAGGAATGGTACTCGAAAGAAGCAACTGGTCGAGCAGTTTCAGGGCACAGGGGTTGTAGCACTTTAGGGCCTACAGGTCCGCTTTCGCATCTTGTGAACATCGACCACGTTGATCGGGCTTCTGACCAATTAGACACCAAACTACACGAAGCAGTGGCCGTCTTGAAGCCCAAAACCCTAAGCCGTAAGCCCTAAGCCCTAAACCCTAAACCCTACACCCTACACCCTAAACCCTAAACCCTATGCCACAAACTCGGGAGGCTCTTCCAATTTCCTCTTCGACCGCCTGGAGTTGGTCATCGTGCCGGGCCCTCAGGTCTCTGATGCTGCCAGAGTTGCGGCCCAGATGAAGCCCCTAAACCCCTACACACCCCGCAGAAGCCCGTCAGAAGCCCCTTCAGAAGCCCTAGCCCTAAACAAACCCGTGAGCTTCTAGATCCTGGACCCACGAAACCCCCGAAAAAGCTCCCAAAAAACCCCTTTCGAGGTGAGGCCCCTATTTTCGATGTCCCTGAGCCCCTAAACCCCTCCTGAAACGCCCCTCAAAGGCTCTCTCAAAGCTTATGTCGAGAAGCCCCTAAAAAAGCGCAAAATGCACCAGAAAGCCCCTCAAAGCGCTCTCACAATGCCCTCTCAACTCGAGGCAGTGGGGCTTCAACGTCATTGCCATTGGCGACCGCCTGGGCTCGGGTGCCCCCAGCGGGGCGGAGGGCGCTGGAGCCCCAGCTGCGGCTTTTCTCTGCTTCTTCTCAGAACAAGAAACTTGTAATTGTCATTTCTTTATTCATATACTGCTATATTGTTTTCATGATGGTTATGCTGGGGCGGCGAGGCAAGGTCGGCACGACAGGCTTATGGGTTTTTGTTTCAAGTGGCAGGGAAGATTAGGGTTTAGGGTTTAGGGAACGAAGTTGGGGGGGGGGGGGGGGGGGGGGGGGGGGGGGGGGGGGGGGGGGGGGTGGTTGTCCATCGCGTAAATGGTTGGCCCCAAGCGACCTGGTCCTGATGTACCGTCCGCTCGCGGACCCCCGGCGGCTGGGTGGGGGGGTACCCATTCCAAGCAAAAAAGGACCAAACCGGTCACAAGATGAGCGGATTCCAAGGCCTCGGCGGATGTATTGCGGATGTAATCTCATATTGTTATATTGTCATTAGAGTATTGAGTTATTTTCTCAATATATACATATATATATATATTGCTATTTTAGTATCTTATTAAGTTATGTTATTATGTTGTTATCATCTTGTATCCTTGTATGCTGTTTAGGAGCATTTGAGGATGTTCCCCGCTTGGGGTTGTCCTTCTGGGCCGCCCTCAGAAGTAGGAGCGTGCTTGCATCTTGACTAGAGCCGGATATGTTGCAGTCCCCCGCTCAGCTAGGTCCTGATCTCAGTGCGCGATGTCCGCACGAAGCCCAGCATTTGAGAGGCGAGCTGCAGTGAAACGGATAGGGAGGAAGGCAGAGAGATTGAGAGTGATGAGTTCGACTTCTTCTCGTGGGGTTCTAAGCAAGCTTCGCAGTGAAGATTTGGTTGCAGGGTGGCAAGGGCTTCGGATACTCCCTAATTAGCCCCACCAAAAGAAAGAGGGGTTCGAGAGCACTTGCGCATTCGGGCATCTGCATCTAGCTCCTAACTTCGAAACGATGCGGTCAGCATCTACCCTGTAAAGGATTATGTAAGGTACCCAGAATTCCCTTATTCCCCACTACAAGAGAACCGGTCAGCATCTACCCTGTAAGGGATCATGTATGGTACCCAGAATTTCCTCATTCCCCACTACAAGAGAACCAGTAGGATGAGCCTTTGCTCGCAAAGGATTGCAGAGCTGCGGTGTTCCCGTGCCACTGACGGAGGCCGCCCTCGATGGACAAGAGGCACCTGGAAGCAATGAAGTTATTTTTTTTTTGGGGGGGGGGGGGGGGGGGGGGGGGGGGGGGGTAGCAAGTCTTGAGCCCCTTTATGGGGGTTTACGAACATCAGGGACCCCCAATGTTGGAGTATAGGGTTCCCTTGTAAAAAGGACCTCAAGAAGGTACCCCGAATTTCAGAAACCCCCTTATACCCCATGCAAGTGTAGATGTTAGAGCATGTAAACTCAACTTAGGAAACCCTAAATGTTAAGGACCTAGACTTCCCGAAGGCCTGGAGCTTAAGGACCCTAGTTCGTTTGGAATCGGCACATCGGCACTCTCTGCTGATAGGCATGTTCCCGCGCCACCCTCAGAAGTAGGGGTTAGGTGGGGTTTACCGCCCTCACAAGTAGCGGTAGGCTTGTGAGTTCAGCGGTGCCAAGTTGCACACACACAAGACACACGTGGGCCCCGGGGCGAGTTCTTCCCTATAGACCCTATAAATCCTAAGCCCTAAACCCTAAACCCTAAACCCTAAACTCTAAACCCTATGATTTCGGGGGGGGTGCGTGCGTTTCAAATCCGGATGCCAGGTTGAGATGTTGGTCGAGCTACCAGAGGCCAAGAGAGTCAAAATCCGGCAAGCGTGGTAGTGGGGTTAGGGTTTAGGGTTTAGGGTTTAGCGTTTAGGGTTTAGGGTTTAGGGTTTAGGGGGTTTAGGGTTAGGGAGCAGCTCACTACTAGGGTTTCGGGTTTCGGCTTTAGGCAAGCACTCGGGTGGACAAGCATAGAAACAGTTGAAGCAGTTGCACATTTGAAAGAGTTGCGCATTTGTTTTACATTCTCTTTTTTCTCTTTCTCTGACTCTAGATCCGGCTCCTCTCTCTGCCTCTCTCCTTTTCATTCGCCTCCCCTCTCTCTCGCTCTCGCTCTCGCTCTGTCTCCCTCTATCCCTCTCTCTCTCTGCCTCTCTCTCTCTCTCTCTGATGGCGCTAGTCTTGGCAAGGAGGTCTCTCACAATAAAGCAAGCCTGTTTCCGAAAATAGGGGACCCTGAAATGGACTCCCAAATAGTAGGATTCCCTTATAGTGAGGACCCCAACAAGGTACCCCTAATTTCGAAAACCCCCGCCCGTCCTCCCTTCTTCTGGGTTGGCGACTGTATGCTACAGCTGTTCATGGCGCTTGGGCATCGCAGGCCGTCATTGACGAGCGGAGATGGGGCTCCCACCTTAAGCGATTGCAACCTGTGGAGAATCCTTTTCAGACATTGCGAGAAGAAGGTGCAGAGGGAGATGTCTCGCTGAGGATACGGAGACATAGCCCCCTTCCGCTGTGTGCGTTGGGGCCTCATTGTGCCTCACGCCGTGCGGGGTTATTGCCACTGGCGGATGGGGCTCTTGCTGCTAGCTTTCAGAATGTTTATGCCATGCATCCCGCCGGTCACCGATGAGGGATGGTCCTGATGTGCCAAGACCATAGGACCCGTAGGATGTGCGCATGTCTAGGAACGGGTCAGAGCCGTTTGAGTTTGACGATCAGGTTGGCTCTCGTCTGGCATCGGACGGCCTGGTATTTGGTCTGCAGAAGGCGACGGAACCATGGCGCCAATAGTCGCAGCGCAGGTAGGCCATCATTTTGCAACGTGGGCACAGGCTGCAAGCACGCCTACAGAGACCTGACCTCAGCGGGAATGTCAGCTTACAGATGACACTTCCTTGGGCACAACATGAACCCTAAAAGGGTTTATGGTTCATATACCTTAGTAAAGTAGGAATTATAGTAGTATAGGGTATATGACCCCAATTTTCAGGTTCATTTCGTCCCCAAGGTTCTGGTCTGACTTTCAAAATCACTACAGCACCATGTGAAGAGACTGAAGAGATGCCAGAGATACAAGGCCCAGGGAAATGCGGCCGTGGGTGACACCTCGGGCCTCGCCGAGGGCGTCCTGCGATGCAGGCGCGTTGCAGTAGGCAAACTTGGAGCCAGGCGAGACTCGGCAGTAGCGTCTGCAGCTTTACAATGAGCCATGACTCACGAACCTGCAACCCGAAATCATGAAGCCTGTTCGTAAACCCTGAACCCTACACCCAAAACCCTAAACCCTAAACCCTAAACCCTAAACCCTAAACCCTAAACCCTAAACCCTAAACCCAAAACTCTTAGGTGCACGTCCTTGATCCCGGGGACCTGGGCCGTGGAGATCGTGCTTGGCTCGTGATTCCTTGGCTCTGCCCGAGCCGCCGCATGGTTTTGATATACTAGGCTTTAGGGTTTAGAGTTAAGGGTTTACAGTTTAGGGTTTAGGGTTTAGGGTTTAGGGTTTAGGGTTTAGGGTTTAGGGTTTAGGGCAACGGGTTGACGGTCACACTCGGTTGACTTGGTAAGCTGGCTAGGTGTGTCAGTTACTGTGGCAGGGTCAGCGGCCTTCAGAGCCACCCCGGTCTTCATTGAATCCTGAACCCTAAACCCTAAACCCTAAACCCTGAACCCTTTGTTGAAGTTCACTCTGCTCCTGTCGCTCACGCCTTACTGATGCTCACCCTAGCCCCAACACCCTAGACCCCGAATTCCCACCTTAAGCGCCCGCAACCTACTTTTTTGTAGGTTACTGTTACCCAAGAATCCTAGAAGGGATGTTAGAACTGACAGGAAACTACAAAACAAGGTAGGTTTCGGGTTCTTAAGGTATACAAGGCCCTCAACTGCAGCGGCTCAAAGCCAGTAGAAGGCCCCGGTAGGCACGGAGTGCGCGGAGCCGCTGACCCTGTGGTGACCAGGCCCTGCAGGGTTTAGGGTTTAGGGTTTTGGGTTTGGGGTTTTGGGTTTAGGGCCGGTTTAGGGTTTAGGGTTTGTGCGCCACGGTCCTTGTTGTCGCTTCCCATATGGGGACCCATGAGCCCTAAAGGGGTCTAGGGTTCAGACTACCTTAAGAGGGGTCATAGTAGTAGAGGGCATCTGGCCCCCCATTTTAGGGTTCATCTGGTCCGCAAGGTCTCCTCCATTCACCTGGTTTTGGGCTTTCGGGTAGAGGGTTCCCTACATACCCTGCCACCCCTTTGTCCCATCTCCTTTGCTCATCTCCTCTGCCCCTACCAGTGCCATCCTGGGGCAGGGCATGGACCTTTGGGGGATTCCGCGAATAATTGCTGTAGGATTTTGGGGAAACTTGGGGGGGGGGGGGGGGGGGGAACCGACAATAAGGTTTGTATGTAGTATTTTGGGGTCTATTGGGGGGGGGGCGGGAAATGCCCAGAATGTCTAGACTTCTTGAGAGCTCATCTGCAGCCGGCCTCTTGATCCGGAGTCCGGCAAAGGCGGTTACGCCCGGTTGCCCGAGGTCACCGCGCAACCCAAAACCCTAAGCCTAAACCCGGTAAACCCTCAACCCTAAACCCTAAACATGGCATGCATCAGCTTATTGCCCATCAGCACACTTGCCTGGCAGGTTGTTCTGGTCCGTTCTTGTGTGGGCGCGGTCCACCTCCTGATTTCGCTGCTTGGCGTCTTATGGCATGTTGCCCAAAAGGTGAACCCTAAACCCTGATCCCTGAACCCTAAACCCTAAACTCTAAACCCTGAACCCTAAACCGCCTAAACCCTAAACCCTAAACCCTAAACCCCAAGCCAGAGCCTTCTTTCAGTCCTCTCGGAGGCAATCTTGGACAAGGACCTCGAAATGCCCCCTGACTGCCAGTGGAAAGCAGCGCTCTGCCTATGAAGTTCCTCGCTGTGTGTATGTGGGGCCTTCCGAAATTTGGGTACCGTATTGGGGGCCTTATGAGACGGGAATCCTACTATTTGGGACTTTTCGTAAACCCCCATATACTGTATACTTTTGTATAGGTGCCCTATCCTGCCAGAACCCTGCAATTCTGCTGTTTGTGTAGGGAGTCAGTACATTCAGTTTGGGACATTCCCCCCTTTTCCTAACAGTCCTTAGTCGGGATTAGACTAGGGGGTTATGAGAATCCCCATAATTAAGGACCATTCGAATAATTTAGGGGAACATCCCAACTCTCAGTACAAGCCCTACCGACAAACCCTAAACCCTAAACCCTTAACCCGAAACCCTAAACCGTGAAGGATAGGTAGAGACCTTCTTCCCCTCCGAATGCGCCAAAAACATCGAGCTAAGGAATGCCACAGGTGCCTCGGCTTCCCGAATCCTGAAACCCTAAAACCCTAAACCCTAAACCCCAAACCCTGAACCCTAAACCCTAAACCCTAAACTCTACGAACTGCTTATGAACCCCTAAAAAAGAAAATCTTCTCCCTCAGAAGGGTAATATGGGGAGTATGTTTGTTTTCATGTTCTTTTGGTGTATTTAAGCAAATGGTAGAACCCTAAACCCTAACCCTAGACCCTAAACCCCAAACCCACTCAAGTCTCGTTTTGACTCTCGTTCATTAGCAGGCTGTCAATTTGGGATGTGGGCATCAGCTTTGGCAAAGCAAGGTCTTAATGCTCGGGGTTTAGGTTTAGGGGGTTTTCAATTTTGAGGTTCTTTAGGGAAGATTTTGCGAAACGATCATAGAGGGTATCAAACTTGTTCGGGGACCTGCAACATTTAGCATCCTGGTTTACAAAAAGTACATAATGAGTAGAATATGTAGACAAACATATGCACAGACTTGTCATTCGTTTTGTGTGTGTGCGTGTGTGTGGCTTGTGGTGGGCTGTGAGGGAACGCCATTGCTTCACT